GGGACCGGCAGCGGCGGAGGAGGAGGCTGTGCTCGCTAAGAATCCGTGAGCTCGATGGCGCTCCGTTCAGCTCACGACCGATGACTCGGCTCCTGCAGAGACCGAGGAGCGCACAGAGACAGCCACGGCGAGAGGAACGCAAAAATGTAGCGGCACGCCAAGCAGAGTGTGCGCAGTGCAGCGCGACGCGAGGGAGGGAGTGGCTGATCGTTGGACAGGTGATGCACGGATGGTTGTGAGCACACAGTTGATGTGGGGGCGGGTGACAGGTGGATAGGTGGGTTCGATGTGTGAGTGGGTGGGTGGGTTCGATGTGTGAGTGGGTGGGTGGGTGTTTGAATGGGCTGGTAGGTGGGTGAGTGGATTATTGAGCGAATGGGTTGATGTGTGGCTTGGTTAGTGAGTGGGTTGGTGGATTGAACGGTTTTAATTCGTGTGTCAATGGGTGGGTGGTGGAAGGGTGAGCGGTTGAATTTGTTGGTAGGTGGACGAATGAATTATGGAGTGAATGGGTGGGTTTTGGATGGGTTCGTGAGTGGGCCAGTAAATGCGTAGTTTGAGTGTACGATTCACTAGATGGGCTGTCGGAGCAGCTTTGGTAGGCGTGATGGGTTAGTGTATTGATGAGTAGGTAGGCTATTGAGGGATGGGATGATAGTGCGATGAGTGTGTGGGTTGGTCGCTGCATAAGTGGGTTAGGGAATGGGTGTGTGAGTGGATGGTTTGCTCGGTGAGTGGGTGGGATGATGCTGTGGGGGGAGGGGGGTAGGTGGATGGACATGAACATTCACGTACAGATAGATGGGATGGGTGGATTCATGTTGAATGAGTTGGGTAGGTTGTTGATTGGTTTGTTCATGGGGTAGGCTAGTTGGTTAATGGGTGGGTGGGTGGGTTAATGGGTGGGTGGGTTAATGTGTTCGTGGGTGTGATGGACGGGTTGATGTACAGGGCGAGTGGGATGGGCCACGCTTGCAAAATGCGATGAGATGGCATCGCCTCCACGTGGGATTCTGCATCGCAGAGGGGGCCGTTTCCCCGGAGGGAACGATTCCCGGCGAGCCCCGTCTCGTCTCGCAGCGCGGCGAGAGAAGCAGCGGCGTTCACTCCTCCACTCCAGCAGTTTAAACTAAAAGTATAAACTATTTTATTTATTTACTTTACCCAGGTAAGGCCCCACTGAGCTGTACAGCTCTTTTTTACAGAAGCGACCCGACCACAAATGACAGCCCAATAAAGTGGCTTATCGTGTGGACAATTATAGAAGCCAAATACTCTTAAACGCACGTTTATAAATGTGGAGGGGAAAACCGGAGGACCCGGAGAAAAATACACGCGACCACCGGGAGAACGTGCTAACTCCAAATATACAGCAGCAGGCGTCAGGGTCGGGATCGAACCCACGAACCTCCTGCATACCAGGCGAGGTAGTTAACATCTCATAGCCACCGTGATGATGATGAGAGAGAGACACGCAAACTCCAAATATACAGCAGCAGGCGTCAGGGTCGGGATCGAACCCACGAACCTCCTGCATACCAGGCGAGGTAGTTAACATCTCATAGCCAGCGTGATGATGATGAGAGAGAGACACGTAAACTCCAAATATACAGCAGCAGGCGTCAGGGTCGGGATCGAACCCACGACCTCCTGCATACCAGGCGAGGTAGTTAACATCTCATAGCGCAGAACTCTTGTAACCTAACACTAACCCGAACCAACAACTACTTTAATTCTAACCTACCATTTACCTGCCCAAACACTGAACTAAAAAATGCCTACCATAACAATAACAACACCCTGATGCTGAACTAAAAGATGTAACACGGTAGGTCAGCCCTAACACAGGAGGCCAGCCCTAACACGGTAGGTCAGCCCTAACACAGGAGTTCTGCCCTAACACAGGAGGTCAGCCCTAACACAGGAGGCCAGCCCTAACACGGTAGGTCAGCCCTAACACAGGAGGCCAGCCCTAACACGGTAGGTCAGTCCTAACACAGGAGTTCTGCTCTAACACAGGAGGTCAGCCCTAACACAGGAGTTCTGCCCTAACACAGTAGGTCAGCCCTAACACAGGAGGCCAGCCCTAACACGGTAGGTCAGCCCTAACACAGGAGTCCTGCCCTAACACAGGAGGCCAGCCCTAACACGGTAGGTCAGCCCTAACACAGGAGGCCAGCCCTAACACAGGAGTCCCGCCCTAACACAGGAGTCCTGCCCTAACACAGGAGGTCAGCCCTAACACAGGTCAGCCCTAACACAGGAGGCCAGCCCTAACACAGGAGGGCAGCCCTAACACAGGTCAGCCCTAACACAGGAGGCCAGCCCTAACACAGGAGCCCTGCCCTAACACAGGAGGTCAGCCCTAACACAGGAGCCCTGCCCTAACACAGGAGGCCAGCCCTAACACAGGAGTTCTGCCCTAACACGGTAGGTCAGCCCTAACACAGGAGGCCAGCCCTAACACAGGAGCTCTGCCCTAACACAGGAGTTCTGCCCTAACACAGGAGGCCAGCCCTAACACAGTTGGCCAGCCCTAACACATGAGTCCTGCCCTAACACGGTAGGTCAGCCCTAACACAGGAGGCCAGCCCTAACACAGGAGCTCTGCCCTAACACAGGAGTTCTGCCCTAACACAGGAGGCCAGCCCTAACACAGTAGGCCAGCCCTAACACATGAGTCCTGCCCTAACACGGTAGGTCAGCCCTAACACAGGAGGCCAGCTCTAACACAGGAGCCCTGCCCTAACACAGGAGCCCTGCCCTAACACAGGAGGTCTGCCCTAACACAGGAGGCCAGCCCTAACACAGTAGGTCAGCCCTAACACAGGAGGCCAGCCCTAACACAATAGGGCAGCCCTAACACAGGAGGTGAGCCCTAACCATGAAACAACCCTGAAACAAAGCCGCTCGCCCTAACAACACCTTACCAAAGTCTCTAGCCCTACCCTTGACCCTAACTCTACCATAACGCTCTGGTGGTTAGCCTAGCCATAGCACTGTTCATGACTCTACCCTGATCTTGCTACTACCCATAACCATACCCAAATAATCCTAACCCTATCCCTACCCCCCAAACCATATCCGGAGCGAACCTTATTCCTAGTTATACCCAACACCTACCCATACCCCTAACTCTATCCCTACCCTTATTCCTACCTCTAGTCCATTAGTACCGTTACCTACCCCTAGCCATAACCCCGTTCATTATCCGAATACTGTCACTAACCAGTTATACCCTATGATGTTGTCCCTGATCCTAAGACTACCCCTATCCCTACCTCCATCCGCAACACTAGCCATAGGCCAAATCATACTATCCCTACTCATAAATCTACCCCTATATCCCATATCTACCCATTTACCTTACCCTCTTATCCTACCCCTAATCCAATATCCTAATGATGTTAGTCCTACCAATAATCCTACCCCTACCTAATCCTTATTTCTTACCTATACCTATCCCCACAGTCGGATCTAGTAACTTCTCACGACGGAAATGTAGCTATTTAAATAGGACGCTACATTAGTAAATAAATAAATTTTCTCTGCTAAAAAAATATATATTAATTTTTTGGGTCCCATTGGAACCGATGCCGCCTATACCTTCCCCAAAACCTACACGTTACCTTGATCCCTCATTCTCATCCAGAATCCCGTCTCTCATCCTGCCTTCCGCCTCCGATTCGCAACGGTTGACTACGTACGGTGCGAAAGAAGTTCAACATTTATACCTTACTTGCTCAATCCCTTTTTAACACGAAGGAGGCTTTCGCGACCAATATCATCCATAGCAGAGGTTTTGGGGTTAAATCGCGTAAATATATGTTGTGTCGTTAAATCCCGCCGCCACCCAGCACTAGTGACGAATTGGCCACGTTCTGTTTACGTGACAACCCTTACTAGTTGGCTGTGTCGGGTGGTGGCGGGTTTTCACGACAAATTTATATATTTACGCGATCTAACCCAAAAACCTCTATTATGGTCGGTTATTCCCTACTTAACATTATTCAGTATATTGCTATTCCTACATCGTCCTCATCCCATCATTATCCCAGCATCATCTTCATCCCAACATTCTCATACTAGCATCAAGACCATCATCTCTCATGCACCATCCTCATCCTAGTATCATGATTATCATGATACTAGTATCATGATGATAATCATGATACTAGTATCATGATGATGATCATCTTCATCCCATCATCCTGGTATCATCCTCATCCCATCATTATCATCTTCATCCTAGCATCATCCTCATCCCATTATGGTCATCACTATCCCATCATCCTCATCCTAGCATCATGCTCATCCCATTACGATCATCCTCATCCTAGCATCATCCTCATCCCATTACGATCATCCCATTATAATCATCCCCCATCATCTTCATCCTAGCATCATCCTCATCCCATTATGGTCATCACTATCCCATCATCTTCATCCTAGCATCATGCTCATCCCATTACGATCATCCTCATCCTAGAATCATGCTCATCCCATTACGATCATCCTAGCATCATCCTCATCCCATTACGATCATCCCATTACGATCATCCCATTACGATCATCCTCATCCTAGCATCATCCTCATCCCATTACGATCATCCCATTACGATCATCCTCATCCTAGCATCATCCTCATCCCATTACGATCATCCCATTACGATCATCCTCATCCTAGCATCATCCTCATCCCATTACGATCATCCCATTACGATCATCCTCATCCTAGCATCATCCTCATCCCATTACGCTCATCCCATCATCCCGCTGAGCTGCAGAGCTGCTGGCTGCTCAGTTCGCTCCGTAAGCCGCACGCCTCTTCCGCACGCTTACGGAAGGACCCCCCGCACGCTGCGCCCTGCTGCCCTGGTTAATCCAAATCGAGCAGCGGGGAAGCATTGAAAATCATTACAAAATCATTTACATTTGGATGGGATCCTTCCGGGCCACGTGTTTGATATCGAGAGGGGGGGGGGGGAGATCGGAACGGGGGGGAGGGGCACAAGCTTCATGGGCGGTGACGTCACGGGACATAGCGGAACCAAACTCGCCGAGGCAGGAACTTTATGCGTGCAATTGTCGAGGTTTCCATCGTCCGGAAGCGACGAGTGGGAACGGACCGCGATCCCCCCCCCCCCTCTTCCACCCCCCTCCTCACATCCGCACGTGTCCCACGCGTTTTGTTTACATTTTGTCCGTGATATAATTCGTTATTTTTATTAAAATTTAATTTTTTACAAAAGCAATTTTTTTATTTTTTTTACCCGTGTCGTATTGACCGGAGAGTTATCGGCGGGCGGGGAGACACGCTCAAGCTCGGCGTTGTTACTTCCTGGGCGCGCGTTGCAGGTAAATGTTGCAGGTTTTCACGTCGCGTGCTTTTAACGTCTGACCATAGTTGTCTAAAGAACGCTCTGGGTCGTTCCTGGATTGGGTGACCACCACCACCGACTAGCGCCGTGCGTACACCGCTTACGGGCCTGCCCTACGTTTTTGGACGGCAGAGAGCAACGTGCGCGAAGCTCGCCTGTACTGCACTTCTATGCTCTCCGTGTCTGTCAACGCGAGCTGACCGACGTGGTGAAAAACGGTCAAATGAATAACCACGAAATCGCGAGGCTTTGAATAACCACGAAATCGCGAGGCTTTGGGAAGGCCCTGAGTCCACCAGGGGGGTTGATCAAATGGCTCTGCACGCGCGTGTGTGTGTGTCTCGCCATATGAATGTGGAATTGACAACCATTGTCTGAAAAGGACTGAACGGAAGACGAGTGCTGCCCAACTCATTCGACGCAACCCCAGCTCGTCACCCCTGGAGTCTCGCTCTCAAAAAAAGCCCACTGGCTTCATTAGCACGTCTCCGCTGATGCTCGCGACTGTTTAAATTCCACGTTCATATGACGGGGAAAAGTTCATCCTAAATTGACAGCAAAAGCGTATCGTAACTTCACGTGTACCGAGCGACGCAGTCTCACCAGATGTTGATTATTTTAGCCACTGTGGTAGTTCCGATAATAGTGAAAAGACAGTCGCGATTATAATCGTGGCACTGATGATAGTGAGAGTGATAATGATATAAAAGTGATTGTCATGATGGTAGTAATGATAGTAAAGTGATAGGAATGGTGATAATGGCACGCGTGTGGTTGTGTTGGTGGCGAGGAGATTGAGGTGGCTGAGCTAGTCGATGAATGGGATTGGTGGGTCGGTGAGTAAATGAAAGTGAGTGGGCAGTGTTTTTGGCTGCGTGGGCAAAGTAGGTGTGTAAATCAGTACCTGAGTGTTCGCCTGAGTGACGTGGTGAGTGGGTGAGTGAATGAGCTATGTATTGAGGTGCATACCTGTCAAACCCTTATCAGTGCCTACCTTATTACAGACCAATTCAGACATTATTGGTCACCTCGTGCCCCTTATAAATCTCAACATTCATCCTACAAAGCCCATCACAAGGTAGAAACACAAATAGACAAAAACATTTTGTCCGTATTGAAACGGCTGTCCGCCGTATGGACCTGAAAACTCAATTCCCTTGTACAAGAATACGGGTTGGCAGGTATGGAATTAATGGATAAGTGAGTGACTTATTGAGTTGATGAATTATGCTTCATCTTAACGAACTCGCATTGACCAGCTTGAAGTATGGTTAAAAACCCCCACGACTTGCATGGCATGAGGATGTCCACAACCAGCAGTGAATTAACAAATGCCTGTGCAAATACATGTGATGATGGTAATGATTGTGGTGATAATTTTGATGATAATGATGATTGTGGTGTGGTGAACTGGCACGCGAATGGGCCCATAACTCGTGGCGATCGCTTCGCGTGAATTCAGACTTTGCGATGGACGAAATTGAGGAGCAGCTGAGAGAAACTCCGGGGTCGGGAGGAGAAGAGGTGGAGGAGGGGAGCTGCTTGCGCGGAGTTCCAGGTGAGGTCAGCCTCGCGCCACGTCCACTCACCTTGACCAAGGCGCCAGATCTCCTGGAATCGTCACCTTTTCCTAGGCGATTCTCCGCTGGGTCGCCTTCCCAGCGCTCGCCATGCACACGAGCCAAGGCGGGCAATGTCGAATTTTATTTGTAAACCAGATTATACTTGACAAGTCTTCGACGCTCCCCCCCCCCCTCTTTTGAGCGACAAGGTGACGAGGTGATGCGAACTTCTGGTGAACTCGACGTGCCAAACGTGCGGTGTTGTTTTTCACTCGGCAGGTGAAATTTCGTCGTCGCTCGAGGCAGCGGCAGCAGTGGTGACGGAGGAGCCTGGGGATGGTGGAGTCTCGAAGCGACAGCGGAAGAAAATGCTGCGACAGAAGCAGTGGGAGGATGGCCGAGAACAACGCAGGTTTGCAAAGTTAAAGCCAACCGCTTGTACTGCAGGAAAACTTAACAAAGGTTTAATATTTAGAACGATGTATGCCCGTCGTACGACTCGACAACCACCACTGAGTGGATGCTACACTACGGTGGGGTGACGTTCCAGTGAAAAATATCCGATGGATCAGGATTGTTGCTGATAAGCGCAAGTGAACGCACGGTATTTAAACAAGACACGTGGCAACCAAGGTCAGGGCATCCTGATCTGTGGCCGTTCCAGATCCAGCGTTTCCGTGATAACGTTAACAGACCTTTGGATGTTTGCGTAGTCATGCGAATAATTTCTTACATTTTCACCATTTCAATGACAAACAGGATTTTGATATGTTGATTTACGTGTGTAAATGTACAGCCCGTTTTGGAAATCCACTGCTGAATGAGGGCCTAATGCCGTGCGGGTGTGGAGTTTATCTTACTATGCTTCTCCAACCTGCGTTGGTGAATTTTACACGTAGACTCCCGTGATCATTATTCGGGATCATAATTCGTTTCTTTTGGGTTAGTTCATGTTGGTATGATGTGACAAAAAATTGTCTTTAACTATAACTCTCCACCACCCGACAAAGTCGCATGGCCAAATACGCCAGTTGATTTGTTTTTGCAGCAAACCGGTATGAATGTTGAGAGGCCAGCAAAATGTTGTCAATTTTTGACGACGCGTTTGGCTGGAGATTACAGGCAGCATCATGAGGAGATGACAAGAGCTCAGCTCTCGGGGGGGGAAAGGGCTTCCTGCTCCGGGTCGCTTCACTAGACACAAATGACAGCATTAGGACAGCCATGCCGGTGAAAAACAGTTTAATATCCAAGAGTTTAATGCTGGTTGATTAGTTGTCATTGGCAGGTTAGATTAGTGTAATGAAGTGAATCTTTTTAGGGGTTGGTGAAGAGAGAAAAAAAGTGAATATTTTTGAGTGGTTGCTGAAAATAGACTATCCTTAAGTATATCACACTAAATGTGCGTGTGTTTTCTTCGCTTGGGGAGACGAAATTTCCTCACAATGCAAGTGAGACAGTGAATGATGTAATAAAAACATTTCACAATTTGTAATGCGCACAAATTCCATGAAACGGACAATACGTTGTTAGATCGCAAACTCCTATAAACTAAAAAAATATTTTGAAGACCCACTGAGCTATATGAGCTTTTTTTTCAGACGCGACCTGGCCACAAATGATAGTTCATCGAAGTGGCTCATCACGTAAAAATGTATAGCAGCCAAATACCCTAAATGCGTGATGTTGATTCTAAATGTGGAGGGAAAAACCGGAAGACCTGGAGAAAAATCCACGAGACCATGGGGAGAGAGACATGTAAAGTGCAAATATATAGTAGGTGACGGTCGGGATCGAACCCACGACCTGTATACCACCCGAGGTAGTTAATATCTCGCCATTGTGGCGGTTCTCAGAGGCATGGGAAACAGGCTCGCGCTTCCTCTTGTGCCAGCCCCTGTAAGTGCGGCGCATTCTGCTGACTCCTGCAGGTAGACGGCACTTTATACATGCAGTGGTCAGGACTACACGATGCCAGTTGTGCAATTGGATGATCATTTTGAGGTGGGGGGGGGGGGGGGGGGGGAGAGGTAAAAAAAAAAACGAAGACGCTTAGAAAATTATCGTGTCAATCTTGTCCAGGCTGCAGCGGAAGGAGCGGCGCCAGCGGAGGAAGCAGGAGGGGGGCGAGGAACCGGCGAGGAAGCGCGTGCATGCCGAGCCGGAGCCCAGCGGCGTCCGCGTCGCCATCGACTGCGGCTTCGACGACCTCATGCTGCTGCGCGACGTCAAGAAGCTGCACAAGCAGATCCAGCGCTGCTACGCCGAGAACCGGCGCGCGGCACGCTCCGTGCTGGTGAGCGGCGCGCCGCTAACGCACGTTGCTACTTTCGGGCGCTCGCAAAGGGGAATGGGGCGCATCGGAGGGAGGATTTCCAGCGGGGTGAGATGGAGCAACGAAATCCGTTCCCCTTCTCGATGGATCGTTACAACGCATGATCGTTAGCGGTGGCGACTTTCGGAGGCCTTTATCTATCCAGCAGTGGACTTTACACGAACGTTGTGTTCATATTGGATCACCTTTACGACAGTTACCATTCCGCCCCCCCCCTCTGTGGTTGCCCGGACGAAAGACAAACAGAGGTAATGCATAATTCTTTTCGGCTTTAGTTGTAAAATCTAAAAAAAGAAAATTGCTGAACGATCCATCAGTGTCTCACCGGCCGTGTGGCATCTCTCTTCTCGAGTTCTTTTACATTTCGTGGGCTATGGATCAGCGGCGACCGTTTTAGTGACGAGGAGGCGCAGTAAACCTCGTGAAGGTGACCCAGTGCGAACCAACACGTGGTATTAACAAGATGCGTTGCCTAAAATGTGTGTTTAACACGTAGGCCTTCGCGACCAATATCCATAATACAGGTTTTGGATTTTTTGGGTTAGATCGCGTAAATATAAACGTGTCGTTAAACCCGCCACCACCTGACACAGCCAATTAGTAAGGTTTGTCACGTAAACAGAACGTGCCAATTCGTTACTAGTACAGCACACCGATGTGTTGGAGAGCAAATCCACAACATTCACAAAAACGTGGAGTAAAACATCCAGAGCAATCCAGTGAACCTGCAATGTTGGGCCACCATTGTGTGTACGCATGCATGTTGAACTTCTTTCATTGGCCCATCTTGAACTTCTTTTGCACCGTTGGCCCGGCGTTCCACGTTTACTGGCTACAATGGACATACGTGCGCGAATGCAGATGCCGTTGTTCCCTGGAGTATTCCTGCCGCCGTCTGTCGGCAATCAAACGCGTTTTGGAAAGCGTTGAGTAACCCAACGCAGTAGTTTTTTTGCTGAAATTGTTTTGACCCGCCGTGTTACTTTTCCCCAGCTGCTGCTGACCAGTCACAGCGGGCAGCTGAAGACAAACATGGACACGCACGATCGCGGATACCTCAACTGGAAGGTGTGATCTACCTCATTTCCATGTCTTACCGCGTGTTACCATCCGTTACCATTCATTACCATACGTTACCATCAGTTACCATTTGTTACCATCCTTTACCGTGTTTTACCATCGCTTTCAATGCGTGACCACGTGTCACCATCCATTGCCATTAGTTACCGTGCGCTACCATCAGCTACCATGCGTTACCATCCTCTGCCATACATTACCATGCATTCGACTAGAAATGTATTTCGTGAAGTGGACACTTCCCTAGCCAGGCCCCCCCCCCCCCCCCCCGTAACAGTGAGCAGATCAAACCGTGTACTGTACTTCTCTGCTCCCGCGTGTTTGCTCACCCGCCTTCACCACCCCGCATGGACCAGTGTGGTGCCCCAGGAGTCTCCGTGGCTGCAAGCGCCGCCGACGCCGAGGATTGTTCCGATGAGAGATTCGGTTGCCCCGCCGCAACCGGCAAGCCGGAGTATATTCGGTGAAACAAAAAATGATTTAGCCGTCAAAATTGGGTCTCGACATCAACGAACCTTTGGCGTGCCACAGTTTGTGGAGGGGGAGTCTTTTATTGGGTTGGCAACAACAGGACTGCGGGTAATTTCAGCGCACTCGGTTAATTATCTCACCGCAAGAGCCTCTTGCCGTGCCGGGAGCATCCGAAGTGCACGTGATTGCGTGCGGTCGCCCGTCGCTTATTGTACTTCAAAGTGATTTTCGGCCCCTCGGTAAAGAAGCGGCTGCTGTCCCCCCCCCCCCCGTCCGTGACCCAGGGAATCGAGGTGCGAGGGGAGCGCGTTGAGGAGGCCGTGCACACAGCAGAACTTGTCTACCTCACATCCGAGTCGCCGCACACCCTGGCGAGCGTGGAGAGCGGACGCACGTATGTCATCGGCGGCCTGGTCGATCACAACCACCACAAGGTATGACGACGGGAGGGCGGTGAGCGATGGGAGGGCGGTGAGCGATGGGAGGGCGGTGAGCGATGGGAGGGTGGTGAGTGATGGGAGGGCGGTGAGCGATGGGAGGGCGGTGAGCGATGGGAGGGCGGTGAGCGATGGGAGGGCGGTGAGCGATGGGAGGGTGGTGAGCGATGGGAGGGCGGTGAGCGATGGGAGGGTGGTGAGCGATGGGAGAGCGGTGAGCGATGGGAGGGCGGTGAGCGATGGGAGAGCGGTGAGCGATGGGAGGGCAGTGAGCGATAGGAGGGCGGTGAGCGATGGGAGGGCGGTGAGCGATGGGAGGGCGGTGAGCGACGGGAGGGCGGTGAGCGATGGGAGGGCGGTGAGCGATGGGAGAGCGGTGAGCGATGGGAGGGCGGTGAGCGATGGGAGGGCGGTGAGCGATGGGAGAGCGGTGAGCGATGGGAGAGCGGTGAGTGATGGGAGGGCGGTGAGTGATGGGAGGGCGGTGGGTAATGGGAGTGTGGTGAGCGATGGGAGGGCGGTGAGCGACGGGAGGGCGGTGAGCGATGGGGGGTTGGTGAGCGATGGGAGGGTTCTCGATTTGAAGTTTTCGTGACTGCAAGGATTCATACTCTTTGGTTTTTTCGGTAAAGTCACGTAGGTAGAAAATTAAAATAAATTAAATCACGACGTTTTTCGGGCACGCTGCTTAAGTGTGTATGTGACACACTTAAAGCGTTTGTGCTTTCGCTGAGGTTTCCCCACCTGAAGAAGGACGCTTGTGTTGCACCCGAAACGTCGTGATTTAATTTATTTTAATTTTATACCTACGTGACTTTACCAAAAAAAAACAAAGAGTATGATGGGAGGGTGATGCGTGATGGTAGGGCGATGCGTGATGGGAGAGTGGTGAGTGATGGGAGAGTGGTGAGTGATGGTAGACCTTCCTTGAGCAAGCCTTCCCCTCTTAAGTCAAATAACAAATAATAATCACACCCCACCCTCGGCAGAACCCAGAGAGGGAAGTGAACCGAGACCGTGGGCACTCTCCGACTCGAACCTCCCGAACCGATGAGACTCTGCAGATCATTTTGCCTTTTTCCAAATCGTTCCTTTTGGACTTTCCTCCTGAATCCCCGCATGAACTTTCGCGCTCGCCACTCTCGTAAACGCCGCCCAGGGTGACTCGTGGCTCCGTCAGGTCTGCCGTGACGCCGGCCTAGCCTCACGGTGGCACGGTGGACACTCCACTCTGGTTGGTGCAACGAGGAACCTTCGTCCGCCACGCGTTCCTGATGATTTCGATGTGGGGGGGGGGGAGGGGTTGGATGAGGCACTAAAGCTGACGGTGATGCTGACCAAAATACTAAAACAAAGATCCCCCGTATAACATTGACAGACTGCCAGGGCAAGTGCTGTTAGTGAGTAGCACCTATGAAGGCCGGCACTATGGCATACAAAGGGGTGGGTAGCCAACACCACGCCCGGCCGCCTTTGTCTCCCTGGCGGCAAAGTTTACACATCAGACCGGGTACACATTTGAGGCTGAGTTGACCTCGGGGAGGCCCATGACTGGTTCAGATAATCGTCACTGGTGGTGGCTGTAAGCGGGAATCGAACCCGGATCAACGGGTTCATAGAGCAGTGCGCTAACCGCTACACTACCAATTCCCACTAATTTGTATGTGCGTACTCTCACACACGCATGCCTGCGTGTGTGTGCGTGTGTAGATTAGTGTGATTACACATACATGTTATGTGTATGTACACTCAAGCCTGCACTCAAGCCCAGTATCCGGTTCGGATAATCGTCACTCGGGGGAGGGGGTGGGGGGTGGGGTCGCCGGGTTCGTAGCGCGGCACGCTAACCGCTGTGCCACCGCTCCCCACCGCCATCGTCGTCGTTATCGTTGACCTCATCGTCGTTGTCGTTGACCTCATCGTCGTTGTCATTAGCCTCATTGTCGTCGTCGTTGACCTCGTCGTCGTCGTCGTTGACCTCGTTGTCGTTGTCGTTGACCTCATCGTCGTTGTCGTTGACCTCGTCGTCGTTGTCGTTAACCTCATCATCGTCGTCGTTGACCTCATCGTCGTTGTCGTTGACCTCGTCGTCGTTGTCGTTGACCTCGTCGTCGTTGTCGTTAACCTCATCATCGTCGTCGTTGACCTCATCGTCGTTGTCGTTGACCTCGTCGTCGTTGTCGTTGACCTCGTCGTCGTTGTCGTTGACCTCATCGCCGTCGTCGTTGACCTCGTCGTCGTCGTCGTTGACCTCATCGCCGTCGTCGTTGACCTCGTCGTCGTTGTCGTTGACCTCATCGTCGTCGTCGTTGACCTCATCGTCGTCGTCGTTGACCTCATCGTCGTCGTCGTTGACCTCATCGCCATCGTCGTTGACCTCATCGTCATTGACCTCATCGTCGTTATCGTTGACCTCATCGTCGTTATCGTTGACCTCATCGTCATTGTCGTTGACCTCATCGTCGTTGTCGTTGACCTCATCGCCATTGTCGTTGACCTCATCGTCATTGTCGTTAACCTCATCGCCGTCGTCGTTGACCTCATCGTCGTCGTCGTTGACCTCATCGTCATTGTCGTTAACCTCATCGTCGTCGTCGTTGACCTCATCGTCGTCGTCGTTGACCTCATCGTCGTTGTCGTTGACCTCATCGTCGTTGTCGTTGACCTCATCGTCGTTGTCGTTGACCTCATCGTCGTTGACCTCGTCGTCGTTGACCTCGTCGTCGTCGTCGTTGACCTCGTCGTCGTTGTCGTTGACCTCATCGTCGTTGACCTCATCGTCGTCGTCGTTGACCTCATCGTCGCCGTTGACCTCATCGTCGTCGTCGTTGACGTCATCGTCGTCGTCGTTGACCTCATCGTCGTCGTCGTTGACCTCGTCGTCGTCGTCGTTGACCTCGTCGTCGTTGTCGTTGACCTCATCGTCGTTGTCGTTGACCTCATCGTCGTTGACCTCATCGTCGTCGTCGTTGACCTCATCGTCGTTGTCGTTGACCTCATCGTCGTTGTCGTTGACCTCATCGTCGTTGACCTCGTCGTCGTCGTCGTTGACCTCGTCGTCGTCGTCGTTGACCTCGTCGTCGTTGTCGTTGACCTCATCGTCGTTGACCTCATCGTCGTCGTCGTTGACCTCATCGCCGTCGTCGTTGACGTCATCGTCGTCGTCGTTGACCTCATCGTCGTCGTCGTTGACCTCATCGTCGTTGACCTCATCGTCGTCGTCGTTGACCTCATCGCCGTCGTCGTTGACGTCATCGTCGTCGTCGTTGACCTCATCGTCGTCGTCGTTGACCTCATCGTCGTCGTCTTCTCAGGGCCTGACGCTGCAGAAGGCGGAGGAGCTTGGGGTGGAGCACGCGCGTCTCCCGCTCGACGACTACGTCAAGATGTCGAGCCGCAAGGTCCTCACCGTCAACCACGGTAACCGCGGCGACCCCGAGGTCCCACTCGAGCCTCGCATGAGTACCTGGTGCGGCTTGTAACGTGAAAAAAAAACATCGCCACGAGGGAGACAAAGGCGGCCGGCCGTCGTGCTGGCCAACCCCCACCCCCCCCCCCCCTCGTGTGCCACAGTGCTGGCCTTTATTAGGTGCTGCTACTTGCGAACAGCACTTGCCCCAATAGTTGACGATTTATACAGGGGGAACTTTGTCTTGTGTCTGTGTCCGTGTGTAGCACTTGAAAGCAACAGAGGATCTTTGTCTTCGTGTGTGTCTTGAGGGTATGTTTAGTACGCCTCAAGTGAGTGTCTGGTGCGGTGTGTGAACATCGCCACTCGAGAGACTCCGCCTCAAACGAGTACCTGGTGTGATGTAGAAACATCGGGAGACAAAGGTGGGCAAGCGCGGTGCTGGCAACGCCAACTCATTGCGAGGTCATGCCATAGGTGCTCGCTAACACACCACTTGCCCCAATAGTCTCTACGGCTATATGGGGGATCTTTGTATTTTGGTGCCTTTGGAACTGCCAAGTCTGACCCACTCGTGTTTGCACTGCGAGCTATAAGGTCACTGTGACCTCGTGATTGACACTTTGCAGATTTACACACTTTAGGTCTATCCCAATAACTATTCATCGTACAGCGTGTGTGTATGTATGTGTATACGTGTGTATTAGTACTAGTACACAAAGTGCACCTGGCCTGGCACTGGCGCTGTGGTGACATCATGTCACTTAGTGGCGAATGGCGGGTATCGGTATATATGTGTGTGTATGTGTGTTAAAACACAGAGTGGTAGTGTAACGGTTAGCGCGCTGCACTATGAACCCGGCCACCCGAGTTCGATTCCCGCTTACACCAGTGATGATTATCTGAACCGGTCCTGGCCTCCCCTCAGGTCGACTCAGCCTCAAATGAGCACCTGGTGCGGTGTGTAAACATCACCACCGGGGAGGCAATTGCAGCCGGGCGTGGTGCTGGCCACCCATCCTGCCCCCTCGTGTGCCGTGCCGGCCTTCACAGGTGCTCGCTAATAGCACTTGCACCGACAGTCTGTTAAGGCTGTACGGGGGGCGTCTTTGTGCGCTAAAACACAGAGAGTTGGCGCTGTGGGGAGCACAGTTGGTGCATCTGCCAGTCGTCTCAGGTCAGGCAACTCGTGGCACCTGGGTCTGTCGCGTGACCTCTTTCCAGCGAGCCTTCGACACTTCACGTGGCCCCAAAGTGCACCTAGCCTGGCACAAGCGCCGTGGCGACGTCACTGCCACTTAGTGGCAAACGGCTGTTGTGGTGCGTTAAATGTTACGCCGAAGGACCATTGCTTGAACTGTCATCTTTTTATCAATATTTACGTTTCCTCTCTGGTGGAGTGTTAATTATAGATTTGAAGTTTTCGTGACTGCAAGGATCCATATTCTTTTTCTTTCAGTAAAGTCACGTAGGTAGAAATAAATCAATAAAAATTTAATAAAATACAACAAAATGAAAACTAAATTAAATAGAATGATTTAATTTAGTTGTTTTCAATTTTTGTTACATTAAATAATTTTATTTAATTTAGTTTTCATTTTTGTTTTATTTGATTGGAAATTTTATTTATTTTCCCCCCTACGTGACTTTACCGAAAGAACCAAAGAATATGGTGGAGTGTCATCGATGAGCGTTGTTGACTTTTTGTTCAAAGCGGGGGGGTCACCTCTCAGTTTAAAGTGCGGTTATTGTTATCCTTCGCCTGTGACCGAATCACCCAGAATGCACCCCGATCTCGTCACATCTCGGAAGCTGAGCAGGATGTGCAACCACAGCGCTCAAACAGGGTGCCGTGCGGTGGCTGCGGGGCTGCGCTACACAGCGGGCAGCAGAGAACAGTGCGGGAAAAATCTTTTGTTGGACTGTACTTCTACGCTCCCGCATCTTGACCGGCGTGGTGAAGGATAGTCAATCAAGCCCCACGAGTCCTACGGCATGCAGAGGCCCTTATCCAGCAGTGGGTTCACAGCGGGGCCTCGGGACACGTGATTACATTACCGTGGCAAGGAATTGCCGTTGTGTTAAATTGTTCTGCCCTTCATGGGTGCTCACTCACAACAGTTGGCCCAGAAGGATCTTCGTCTCCTGTGTGTAAATATATATATCGCCTGAATTTGAATAATTTCTTAATGCTTTCCAGCTGAGGTTGAAGATGGCACTAATGGTTGTCCTTCCCCCGTTCCTCCGATTAGCATCGTTGGTTACGTACAGTGCAAAAGATTCACCATGCATACACACATGTCCATGTTTCTCATCCACGTGAAATGTACGTGTGGAGCCTCTGTAAACCCACTGCTGGAGGAAGGCCTCCCCAATGCCATGCTAGTCAAAGGGGGTTTTGACCATACTTCACCAGACCGCTAAGTACGGGGAGAGCCATAGGAGCGTAGTACAGCAATCGGTTTTTCCACACTCCCCTCTGCTGACAATATAATTTCGATGAAAATATTCTGCAAAAATATATATACATACATACATCAACAGTAACACAGTTGTGTTACTGTTATAGGCATGTATCCTATTGAAATCCGACCACATTGATGAAAGGGTCTCCCAAAACTTGGCCGTAAGAAACCAGGGCTAAGTAGAAAACGCTTTTTTTCTACGTGAGAGCCACAAACTGCAACTGAAGCAACTTTGTTAATATATTCAAATTACATTTGTCCTGACAGCACCCGTCAGCTTCTCCGCCGCTGATTAAACACTCTGTCCGAAGACGGACGCCGTCATTGGGAATCGTTAAGACGATGCGTGCGTGTGATTTTTTTTCCTCCTTGTGTTTCCCTGCTCTCTACGCTACCGCCCCCCTCCCCCCCCACACACACCACCCCGGCCGGCCGCTCTCAGTGTTCGAGATCCTTCTCGCGTACCTCGACCTGGGGGACTGGCGCGGCGCCTTCCTCCGCGTGCTGCCGGACCGCAAGCAGGTCGTCCCCATTACCCACGAGGCCTCTCCGCCGGCAACGAGCGACGAGAACGGTTGCCGCGGCGCCGCCGCCGTCGTCGTCAAGGACCGCGAGCGCCGTTGCCGAGACGACGGTGGAGACGCCGCGGGCCCGCAGACGGGAGGCCCCGGGGTGAATCCCAAGAGGAGCGAATCGGTGAATGCGGAAACGGGAGGCTCGTTAGGTCTGGAGATGGGGGATGGAATGAATTTGGGCAAGAGCAAATCGGTGAATCCTGAGATGGGGGAGACCCAGTGAATCCTGGGAGGGGAGATGCAGACGTGAATCCAGAGAAGAATGAATCGGTGGATGCGGAGATACGAGACTCGTTGCGTCCAGAGATGGGAGATGATGCGGTGGATGTGGAAAAGAGAGACTCGGTGAATGTATAAACAGGGAGACTTATTGGAGATTGGAGATGCAATGAATGTAGATATGGACGTAGTAAATTATGTAAATCCTGAGATTGGAGATCAAATTAATACAGAGGTGGAAGACCAGTCGAATGTGGAGAATAGAGACTCGGTAATATCTGGAGGTGGGAGGCGAATGTCTGGGATGACAGACAGATGCGGTGTGCATCCAGCGATGAGAAGCTCTGTAAATCCACAAGAGAAGGGCTCGGCAGCATTGGGAGATGCCGTGCATCCAGAGAGGAGAGATGCCGTTAATGTGGAGGGAGGGTGGGGGGGCAGATTCGGTGAACCCAGCAACAAGGAAAACCTCATGAATCTGATGACTTGAAGCTCCTTGAATGCATCAAGGCCACGTGACGCACTCTGGCAGGGGTGGGCGGGGAACGTACGACACGACGCAGCCCCTCGCGGCTTCATTTCATTCGCCCCCGGGACCACGTGGGCCAAGGCCTACGACTGCAAAACAGCCGCGCAGGCGCTCCGTGTCCCATCGCCGCCGCCGGTGCCGCAGCCACTTGTCTGTCTGCTGCGGAGCCGCGACGCGACATGGGCACCGCGTTGGCGAGAGGGGAGCGGGCGCAGGGTGTTGCCGCCTTCGTTGCGGTCGGGCTGAGGAGCCCGGGCGATGTGTGGTCGCCTTGCCAAAGTTACTGGACGGTCCTTTTTCGGCCCTCGTTAAGGAAAAGTGTCCCCCCCCCTCCCCCCATCCCTGCGCTAGGGCAATTTTAGGGCAACCGTTGCCAGCAATCGTCACCGGTCAGCGCATTCACTATGAGCGACCGTGGCCACTTTGGTGGTGCGACAGTGGCGGTTAGCCGACGGATTTCTTTCCAGCCAATGAAAAGGGAGTTTATTGAAAATGTGCTTTGTATGGACGGCGATTGGTCTGCAAAGCACAGAAACCCCCGGGGCAGCCACATGATTGGAGGTTGCCATCCCTGTTGCGCAAGTAATAAAAAAAAATTCATTCAATAGCAAATGGTATAAAGGGGTGGAGGGGGTGGGTGGCACAGTGGTAAGTGCACAAGTGACCTAACATAGGTGGCACTTGACATCTTCACCGGTTCTAGGCCTCCCTTTCCTACTGGCACCCTTCGTGCTTTTTTTTTACCAGTATGGTAAAGTATGGTCAATCAACTCCCATAACCAACACATTGTAGGCAATGCTGTCATTCAGCAGTGGATTGATAAAAGGCTGTTAGATATCACTAATCATTAAAATGGTGTAGAAACTTGCTGGTGACTATCGAGGCTATAAATTGCTCTCAAGTTGCCCTCGCTGATCAATGTACGTGTATGTATGCTGAACTTCTTTCGCACCGTCCGTAGCCAGCCGTGCTAATCGGAGGCCTTAGGAGACGGGTCGAATTCCCCAGAGACGGTGGACGGCGACGTGAGTCTAGCGAGACGGGAAATTCGCGACACGGGAAATCTGGCAGAATTAATCGTAGGCGAGCATTGCTAGGAGGTGCGGATGGTGGCCTGAGCGGTGCGAGTGGCAACAGAGCAAATGGACGAGGCCGGAACTCCAATCTCCGGCAAAATTGGCGATGGGAGAGTAGATGGGAGGGCGAAGTGGAGGGGGGGTGGGAATGGCTGTGACGAAGGCCATCGTGAACAATTCATGGGGCTCACCGCAGCATCGGGGACGTCCACGGGGCCACCCATGCCTGCAGGTTGCGTCTTCTTGGAGAAATGCAAGTGAAATGTTTTACGAAAGTTTTGTATTTATTTTAGCTTGAATTTTATTTTTAAATTCCGGTATACGAAGAGGGTGGCCAGGCAGCTACCGAGATCCTGAGTTGCAACCGCGTACGGCGAGTTAGACCGGTTCTCGCGTGCAGTGATTTGATGGTCCTCGGCCTGGTCACCAATGATCGCACGAAAAAAATCGTCAAATTTAAATTGTTGCTGCTCTGAGAAATAAAATAAAAAAATATCGGAGGCCATCCGTAATGCAAGGAACGTTCTCTCTAGCAGGGTGGGAGGAAAAATGTTGCCACCTTCCCCCCCCCCCCCCTCTTACTGTGCACACCTTGGAGGGATCTCGAAAGCGTTTTATGCGATATCCGCTTCTGCGGGCCACTCTCCCTCCCAACGCGGAGTGAAGCACTGCTCTAAGAGAGTTCCGAATGGGGCCTCCATCGCGTGACGCGACACCGATGGCACAAATCGCGATAAAAGTTTTGGGGGAACAAAAGTCACACGTAAAGTTGCGAATGCTGTTTGTTTTTATTAAGCAGATATAGAACATCTGCCGACGCACGGTGAAGTTTGACATGAATATTCCATTGCAAATAAAACCTACTTTGAATATACGTCTGCAAAATATTGGTTCTGACATCTGCTTTCAGCTACTTTTGACCCAAAACACAACTTTCCACGCCTCTGCAAGAAACCTCTCTTTCTCCGCCGATATTTCAACCCAACGGCAAATGAGCGTATCCCGCGGGGAAACAAACACGTGATCCATTTACAGATACCCCGCTGGATTCCAACGAGCCCGCTTGAGGGATCCTCTCAGCGGGCGGTCGGATAACCGCAAGAGCGACGGCCCGCTAGACAACAGCGAAGAAGTGCCGGGATACGTGACCGAGCGCTATTAAGAACGGTGGGAGACCAACAGAGACTTTGAATTTAAAAAAATCGATTTTCCACTAATTTCTTAAACAGTATACATAATTGCTTTTTTGGGTTAGGGCCACGTGGTGGTGCTGGTGGCTTTATGCGGATGTTCTTGTCGTTAAACCCTTCGCCGCCCGACGAGGCTGTCACGTTCACCAAGGTACGCGTGGCTTCTACGTGGCCCAGCGCATCGATCAATTTCCGACCAACGAAGCTCCTCGTCGCCACCGTGGCTTCAGCCTGGGAGTCCTCCACAGGGCGGGTGCAATCGCCCCCCCCCCCCCCGTGTCGAGAGGCTTTACCCCCCACAAAGCCCCACGGCAATGCGTGGCGAGTTGTTTGAGTTCCTGTTCGGTTCGGTTAGACGGGAGCGCTCCTGCCAATGAGAGCATCTGGTAATCGGGCAGCGTTTGTTTAATGGGGCACTTCTCGGCTGATGACGGTCCGGAGTTTGTTCAAACAGTTGCAGTTTGGTAATGTTGGTATGGGCTAAAAAAAGCTTTTGTATGTGGAGACAACGAAGTTCACCTTATATGTTGTTTAAACCCATAATGCTGCATGTCAGCTTATATTGAATTTGTGCTCTGTACGCATCTGCCGCGAGTACATTTCATTGCAACCGAGCGAAGAGCGGGGGTTCGGGTCAGAAATAATCACCTCTATGGGTGAGAAGCACTTCCACGCAAGCACCAAAAACTGGCATTGCCTCTCGAGTTTTACAGTTCAATTCACGCAGCAGGTTTCTGAGCAAGGGACACCATCGTACCGCGAGCTATCCGAAATGTGTCTGCCAAGTTAACGAAGGGTTGTCTCTCGACCAGCTGGGTTTTTACGTTTTCAAAATGCCAAGCTAAGTTACTGTGGAGTGGTGAGCACACGGGGGACCTCTTTGTTTTATTGCGCATTCCAAAGAGGTCGTGAATTGACCTCGAAAACAAACAAGCAAACAAAAACGATCAAGATGCTTTGAAAAGCGGAAACGTCTTTCGATGTTTCAAATAGTCGAGAGACGCACAAGCGCATCGAGCACAATCGCTCACTTTTGCGCGACCTAAGGTTAAAACAGCAAATATTAACGCGCCTAAGTGGAAGTGCGGAACTACTCTTTTTGTTTAATGTACGCCGCTCTCTTCAGAGTCCACGCCGTGTGTCGGTAATCGCCGGACGTTGCAATCATTTAGTGGTGCCGGTTTTATTCCGCCGAAAAGATTCAATCGTGAGCTGGGCGGCTCGTCAGAAAAAAATTGGTTATCGCACGGAAGTGCGATTCATTAAGTAGAGACTCAATAAAAAAAAACATTTTAAACCTACATCAGTAAAATTTAGACTTCATTTTTATATATATTGTGCAGTATGAAAAAATAAGAATACTTTTAACCTTTTCTGGCAATAAAACACCTGCTTTACACCTGTTTCATTTCCAGATTTTAAAAAAACCTATTCTAATTTTTTCATACTGCACAATATATGAATGAAAATGAAGTCTAAATTTTACTGGTGTAGGTTTACACCTGTTTATAGCCAGAAAGTGTAAAACCCATTATTATTTTGTCACACTTTAATACTGGCAAAAAGGTCCCATTTTATAATTGTGCAGTGATGGGTGGATTGCGACCCTGTCGATGTTTGCCTACAGGAGAAAACCGGCACCACTGACGTTTTGCCGTGCGCGCGCACGTACACGTAGTTACCGCCGGCAACGGAATTATCTCACCTGGCGACCACGGTAACGATCTCTCTCACACACACACACACCTGAGCCACTTCACCGAACAAGCCGACAGGCACGGGCCGGCTTCCCGCTTCTCAACCACACCGTGGATTTCCTCTCTCCTGACCGGCAGAGCCCTCGTAGCGCAAGCATCGGTGTTTTACACAAACGTACATTCGGTGGTTGCCAACACGTCATTGACGGCTCGGAGTCCGTGCCTGGTGGAATTTGGTCGTACGAGGCTCTTGACACACACAAAGACAAAGATCCACCCGTGTAGCCTTAATAGACTGCTGGGGCAAGTGCTGTTGAGCGAGCACCTACGAAGGTCGGCACGGCACACGAGGGAGTGGGTGGCCAGCACCACGCCCGGCCGCATTTGTCTCCCTAGTGGCGATGTTCACACACCACACCAGGTACTCATTTGTGGCTGAGCCGATCTGGGGAAGGCCCAGGACCGGTTCAGATAATCGACACCGGTGCTGTTGGCCGTGAGCGGGAATCGAACTCGGGTCGCCGGGGTTCGTAGCGCAGCGTAGCGCTACCGCTACGCCGCCGCTCCCCCCTCCGCACACTCCATCAGATCTGGGCTGCGCTGTGCTTGGGCTGGGCAGGTCTTTGCGCGCTTTCGCCGGGCGTGTGAGGGGTCTTGGTGTATCGGAGCTTGGCATCTACAGGTGCGGCAGGGAGCTGGTGCTGTTGCTGCTGCTGCTGCTGCTCCGCCTTCCTGCCGCTGCGTGGTTTGGCCGACGCCGAGGCCGGCGCGACGTCCGCCTCGGCCGCACGGGCGGCGCCCGTAGGCCCGGCGGAGGCCCGCGGCACTCGGGGCCTGGAGGCGGCGGAGCGGGTGATGTCGTCGGCCGACGAGGACCTCTGGATCGTGAGCACCTCGGCATCGCCGACTCTCTCTGCGTTGTCGTCAATGACAAAAACGGACGGGCCGGAGAAATCCTCGGTCAAAAAACACCTCAAAGAGTTCCCGCCTTTGGTTGAACAACAATTCAATGAACTGAGACGCTACGTTTGGAAGTGAGGAGGAAGCATCGGTAAGTAGAGAAATAAATGCAATCACCAGAATTGTCATTCGCGCTGCCCTACAATAGGAAAGGGTGGAGCGGTGGCACGCTGGCTTGCAAACTGCATGAATGATTCAAGCTTTAATAATCGTTTTTCGTTTTATATTGGTGGCGTCGTTCGTGCAAATTGTGCGTCTCACAATCGTCGAGGAATCAGAGACAAGCCGGAAGGCAGCAGCCAGGTCAGTGAGCCGGAGCCAGCAATTGCCCAAGCTCTGCAGCCCTCTACGTCAGTGGTGGATTATCCTCGTAGCAAAAGTAGCAACACGTGTAGTAGCCACGGGCCCCGCACTTTCAAGGGCCCCGCGCTAAATGCTTATCAATTCCAGTTCAGTGATTCTGCACTTGCTCTATAACTATAGTACTATACCGCCTTCAACTTTTATGAACAACTGGGTGTTTAAGGTTAGCGATTTGTCGTATTATCTGGCTGTATAGAAAATGAAAGAATACAATTACTTAACTATGAAAGTTACAAATGTGTTTTAATATTAACGTGTTTTTTTTGCATTTAGGGCCCCTTTATAACATATGCTACAGGCCCTGCACTAGCTTAATCCGGCACTATACGTATGAATGTTGAACTTCTTTCGCACCATGCAAAGCCAACCGTGCTAATCGGGAGTATTCGGCCAAACGAATTATGTATTCAGCCAATGAATGAGTGGAAAGGTTGTTTCGGTGAAGGGTACAAGCATGTTTCAAGTGTGTGTGTTTCAGGAGCTCTGCCAAAAGGCCCCTTTAGTGAGGGTCACTTGCAGCCGTGACTGCCGGACGGTTTGACGTGACGAGAGCCGTGCTGAAAATCACCGAGACTGCGCGTCCTGGACAAGCCCAGAATGCGCAGCCCCGGAGTATAATAACGTGCAAGGCTCAGCATCGTGAAGCGTCAGTGTTCGTGTGCTCAGTGATGCGCTAATTGCCACGGAGAACCTGGTTCCTCCTCCTCGGGGATCGACTCTGGAACGTGGGCCTCGACGGACCTGCAACGAGAGTCGTGGCGTGAGTTGCGGCGTCTCGTGGCGGCAGACAACGCGGGCACGCGATCGATCGCTCTCGCACGCGAAGACAGAAGATCCCCGGCATAGCCATGAACCCGTTCCCGTTCTGAGATGAATGCAAGTTCACTTTTAATTAAACACCGGGTAAGGCCCACTGGGCTACGTCGCTCTTTTTTCAGAAGCGACCTGGCTATGATGGCCCAATTCAGCGGCTTATCACGCGGACATTTATAGCAGCCAAATATTCCACAACTGCACGTTTTTGAATGTGGAGGGGAAAAAACCGGAGGACCCGGAGAAAAAAAAATCTACGCGACCACAGGGAGAGAGAGAGAGAGACACCGCAAACTCCAAATATACAGCAGGCGGGTTTGAACCCAGGACCTCCTGCGTACCAGGCGAGGTAGTTAACATCTCGCCACCGTGACGCACACGGCACACAATCGCTCTGGCACACAAGCCAAAGATCCCCCGCATCGCCATTCACAGACTCTTGGAGCGAGTGTTGTTAGCGAGCACCTATGAAAGCCGATACGGCACGCGAGGGGGTCGATGGCCAGCATCACGCCCGGCCGCCTCCGTCTTATGTTTACAAAACAGGTACTAAATTTTGATTTAAAGCTTTCGTGACTGCAGTAACTCATATTCTTAGCTCTTTCGGTAAAGTCACGTTGAAGGGAAACAATAAAATAATAACATATAATATTGTTTTATATATGTTTTATTATTGTATTGTTTCCCTTCAACGTGACTTTACCGAAAGAGCTAAAAACAGGTACTCATTTAAGGCCGGGTTGACCTACGGGAGACCCAGAACCGGTTCAGATAATCGTCACTGGTTATTGGCCGTGAGCGAGAATCGAGCTCAGGACCCGCCGGGTTCGTGGCGCGGCGCGCGCTCACCGCTGCACCACCGCTCTACGAGAGACTTTGAACACGCGCGTGCGTAGCCCTCCACCTGGAGCGATTTCCCATCCTACTCCGGGGCGTCTTGCGCAGGGAACTTTGAGAGTCGGGCCTGGGGTCCGCGTGCGGCGCGGGGGGCTGCGGTCCCGCCTCATCCTCCAGCGCGATGCGAATCATGGCCAGCACGAGGTCCTTCTCTACGGGACACGCACGGCAGCGGAAACACACGAGCGGCCGCTCTCCCAACCGGTCGGCTCCCGAAGCCGGCCTCGTTCATGTACCGTGCGTGCGTTGAACTTCTTTCGCGACATACGTGGCCAATCGTGACAATTGTGGAGGCGCGGGGGAAGGGCTGCAAGCTGAACACGGGGAGCAGTTGTACATGAATGAGTTTTGAATGGACGGTTCACGAGGCAGCAGTGTCACGAAGACCGTGGAGCCAGGCTGCCGACCACCTGGGAGGTGTCGCCGCTGTATCCACTTCAAGACCCGATGTCTCGACGTCTCGGAAAGTGGTTCGCCGCCAAGAGAAGGAAAGGAAAACGGAAGCGGACCCCGGTACCACAAATCAAACTTCCACCTGGGACATCACATGGCGCACCCCCCCCCCCCCCAGCCCAAAGATCTGCGGGTCCAGAATTGGACTCAGCCACCTCAATAGCCAAACCCTGACGGACGTCATCCACTGTCCCCCAAGGGACCGCAGGACTGGTCCTTGCCTCTCGAGTTTTGGGCAACAATTTGGCCGGTTTTTTTTTTTCCCCGTAGGATAATCACCAATAATGATGACGCAACGTCACGCGAAAGCTTCGTTGGCGTTTCGGACGGACCGGCGGACAGAAAGAACGGAGAGCAATAGCCCAACTGCATGGACGACTTCAACCACAGTGGGACAGCGATTTTGCAGTCGGTCGCGATTGTGGGCACCTCCCCCCCCCCCCGTCGTGAGCTCACCGCGTGGCCCAGCCGCCAGCAGCCACTCCTTCACGGCTGAGATGGAGTCGGTTTGCAGGATCTGACACAGCAGTTCCAGCACCTGCCGTTAAAGCGGACGAGCACACGCACGAGCACACGCCGTTATTATCACCAAACTCGCACCGCCTTTACCAGAACGTGACAGCAGATTTTGCCACCGCTGTTTGTCAAAAGTCACACACCGAGTTGCCGTTTTTGAAGACCGGTCGATTGCACCGTAATTCCCGGAGTTACACCACAGTCACCATCATTGTACCATCATACCTCGAATACTGCTCCATTAATGTGATCGCGCGCGTTCTATCCAGAATGACACCGTTATCAGAATTACCCCATCACCCCTCACAACCACCCCTCAATTTTCTAGACAGCCGTCATATATCATAGATCGTTTAGGAGATTGGTAATCGATGTAAAACTGCTTTTTGTGTTTAGTTTGTCTCCCCCCCCCCCCACTGCCCGCACCTCCGATTAGCACGGTTGGCTACGTACGGTCAGAAAGAAGTTCAACATACAGTGACTCCTCTACTTACGAACGAGTTCGGTTCCATTTTTTTGAAGCACCCCCTGTACTTGAGCAGTCTGGCAAGTCCAGAATATATCTTCTTGCGGTAAATCTACCGGTTTATGTCCATTGGCCTCGGCGTATTTTCATTCACCGGATTTGGCGACGCCGGCACGTTCGAGCTCGGCAAACACAGCGCCGCGCCGGCGGACAAAGGCGGCGCGGGGATATTTACCGCCCACGGGGTCAGGCGGGGCGGCCTCTCTAACGAAGCGATTTACTGACCGGGCGGGGAGAGACGCTGGCCATCGCGCGCCCGGCCGCCCGGTCATTAAAACGTCACCGTGTGTTCGCGAGGCCCTCGGCGCGTGAGGACCGAGTGAAACACGCAAACGTTGGGTCCAAAACGTTGGTTGATGTTTTGGACTTGACGTTGGCTCGACGTCGGCCCAACGTTTGCATGTTTATGTTTACTGGGGGGGGGGGGGGGGCGAGGTGAGGATGAGAGTGAGCCGGGTGTAGTCATCATCAGCCATGATCAATCCACTGCTGGATTGAGGCCACCACAAGACATCGACATCTCGAGCGGTCCTGCGATGGTAACGATCCACCTAGCACCTGATCGTGCCTGATGATGACGACGATGACGATGAATTCAAGTTGTTTATCTGGCTGGTATGTACGTATGGTGTATTGGACTTCTTTTGCACCGTACGTCGCCAACCGTGCCAACCGGAGGCGCGGAGGAAGGACAAAACAAACCAAAGCACCGGTGGCGCTAGCGTTTGGACCTTCGGTCTCGCGAATCGGCAGCGCCGCGTTCTCCTTCGTCCCGGGAACCCCCCCCCCCCCCACCCCCACCCCCCTTGTCAGAGCCTCCGAGTCTCCGGGGCTGTTGGCGCTCACCAGGAGCTCGTGGTCGGGGTCACCGTGGACGGCGAAGTCGCGCGCCCCGTTGCGGGAGGAGAGGCGTCCCGGGGTGCGGGATGCGGCCCGGCTGGGTGGCGGGACGATGCGACCGGTGGCGAGGGAGTAGCGCGTCCCCGGTCTCAGGGCCGGACCCTCCGGCTGCCGTCGCCGAAACACAACGGGGTGGGGGTGGGGGGGGAGGTGACGGAAACAAAAAGTTCTGAGCCCAATGTAGAGGGAGCCTTTTGGTGCCCGGCGCAAGCTGTCGTCCTTGCGTTACCCCTACCGCCCCACCGTGCCTCACCCTGACACACCACACACCCCGCCACACCCTACCCCACCCACACCACCGCACCCAGCCACAAGCTGCCACACCCTGCCACACCATACCCCACCTGCCACGCCACGCCCTGCCCCACTCGCCCCGCTCCACCACTCCCTGCCCCCGGCCGTGCCCCGCTGCACCCTGGGCGCCTCCTGAGCCACGTCGAGTTGGCTCGGGCACGGCCCTGGCACGGCCCTGGCACGGCTCGGCTGTGCCAGTGGAGAAGCGGTGTCCGACAAGCGGGTGTCTGTGCACCGAGCGCGTTGCTTCCCTCTCGCTGCAGGAAGTCGCACCTGCGGTTTCTTCTCCCGCCGCGCGAGGAAGCCGGCTCTCTCCGTGAGCTCCCGCAGTTCGTCTCTCCATGCGTCCGTCAGAGACACTGGACGGGGGGGGGGGGGGGGGGAGAGCGACGCCCGTTAATCGCCCCTGCCCATTGCTGATACGTCTGCGACAAAGAGCTTCGCAGCTCATCGGGTTCCAAAGCGGTCTGAATAGAGATCCTGATTGTGAACCCGGGCGATCTGAGTGCGGTCGTCCGAGCGAATTCTTTGGAAGGTGGCGACTTGTGTTTCGCTTGATACGTGAAGTTAATTACACGGGACGTGAATTAATGTAGGGAAAATGAGGCTGTGGTTGCCGGTGGCAGAGCGCGTGGCCGACCGGTGCGGTCATTGAACCTTCGCACTTTAATTTATTTTTCGCACGATGGGAGTGCGACGTAGTGGGAATATCTGGGAGTACGAGGCAGGCAGAGGCCAGAGAGCACGGGTTCACAAATCGTGTCGGTCTACCACGTGCTCAGCTAGTGGTGGCCTTGTGCTCTCTGTCAACATCACCATCAGCACCATCACCACCACCATCAGCACCATCACCACCATCATCACCATCAGCACCATCACCACCACCATCAGCACCATCATCACCACCAGCACCATCACCACCACCAGCACCATCACCACCACCGCCATCAGCACCATCACGTACCAGGCCCCACACGCGGCACAGACCCACGTTCACCGCCACCACCGCCGTGCTGCTGCTGCTGCTGCAGGGACGAGGGGGTGGTCGGGAAGGGCAGGGTGAAGGGCAGGGGGCCGACGCCGGCGGGTGACCCCGGGGACGACGCCGAGAGGCCGCAGCGCAGCAGCAGGGCGCGCAGGGGGCTCAGCGAGAGGCTGTAGCGAGGGCTCGACACGAAGCCTTCGTCGTTCACGGAGCAGATGGGCACGTCGTTGAGACCTGGCCCACGACGACGAGGGGGAACGCAGTAAGGGGCAAGCCGAGGGAGAAGGATGGAGTCGTCAAGCCGGAGTGGTCAAGCCGGTGCCACCCTTGGGCCCGGAATGATCCGGGAACGGGGGCAGTCCGTCGCAGCGACTATCGCAGGGCTCGCCACATCCATCTCGCCTTATTTTGACCTCGTGGCGCTGCGGGTTAACTCGAGGAATACGCTGGAGAAATCCGATGAGCTATGCCAGCTCTTTTTTTTTATCACGGATGTCCAGTGAGGGGCCGGTCAGAACGTTACAACAACAAAAAGCAATGCAACAAAACACGATAGGAGTGCAAAGTATGGGAAAGGTAAACAAATCACTTAAAAAAACATTCAAATAAAACTCAACTATTTTTTTTATCTAACCAGGTAAGGCCCACTCAGCCGTCAGCTTCTTTTTCAGAAGCGACGTGGCCACAAATGATAGCACAACGTAGTGGCTTATCGTGATTATTACAGATAAGCGTAGCTCAAAATTAGTGGTATTGCCTTCGGACTATCATACATACTCCAAGCCAGTCTAAACAACAACAACGATAAAAAAACACATTTATATTTTCTCTTGTAAATACGAGAGTCAAATAACAATTGTCTGAGTCTCAAGTGGGTGGGCGAGAAGTTGGGGGCAATTGCCCCCCGCCCCCCCCCCCCAGCCCACCTGTCGGATCTGCCACTTTGCCTTTCCACCAGCAGGTGTGTGCACAGGCACTTTCGGGGCTGCACCTTTACCTGTTTTCATATCGTACACCAAGCATGAATCGTTTGCGTAATTTTATTCGTATCCACTCCACCTCTGATCTATGTGCAATTTTTTCACAAGGGCCATTGCCCGGAACGTCGTCTATTATATACTTTTCCCATAAAGACCGCAGGGTTCAATTACGAATGCGTGGTATCGTATCGCCATACCGTGGTAACCCTACTTCAAAGGGCAGAGACAAAGATACCCCGTATAGCCTTTAACAGACTGTCGGGGCAAGTGCTGTTAGCGAGCAGCACCTACAGTATGAAGGCCGCCTCGGCACACGAGGTGAGGTGAGTGGCCAACGCCACGCCCGGCCGCCTTTTTTCTCTCCAGTGGCCGCGAGCAGGAATCGAGCTCCGGTTTACCGGGTTTGTAACGCAGCGCGCTCACCGCTGCGCCACCGCTCCCCACAGACACACGCACTCACAAACGAGCATGTAGACGCTCACGTAGCCACGCTTAACACACACACGTGCGGGCATTCCCCCTGTCTCGCTGTGTAGACTGTCGGGGCAAGTGCTGCCAGCCATCACCCACTAAGCTGGCACGCTGCACGTGGGGCTGGCGCCGGGTTCGTAGTGCAGCGCGCATACCCGCTGCGCCACCGCCGCTCCCCGACCCAGGGGTGGCGCACACCCCATCCCCACCACCACCAGCCCCACCTCGGATGTGCCGCACGCGTTGCGGGTGAGGGTTGTGCCGGGAGAAGAATGAGTGCTGGCTCAAGTTGCCGAAGCGCGCCGAGCTCCGAGTGGCGGGGCGCGGGCTCAGAGGAGCCGGCACAGCGGGAGGCGCAGACGCCGCAGCCTTGCGAGCCATCACCACCCCCTGCCCCTGCTCCTGCTGCTGCTGCTGCTGCTCCTGCTGCTGGTGCCGCCGCTGCTGCTGCTGCTGGGATCTGCTCTCCCGAGGAGGTCTGAAGGTGTCCGAACAAGGGCGAAGCAGTCCGCCTCTCTCGGTGCCCGCTCCCTTCCCCTCGGACTTAAAGAGCCTTGCACGCGCGGAGAGAGAGAGGGGGGGGCGGGAGAGCGAGAGACAGCTGAGTAAGGTACGGACTACGCCGTCGAAGGCGCAGCCCTGCAATGGCCTCATCACGACATTGCTGGCGGAAGGGTCCTCCAACCGACGGAGCTCCCGAGAGCCCCTGCAGAGGGCTGCCCACCCCAGCTGCTTTAGAACAGCAACTCGATCAGTAAACACGTGGGTCCAGTGTAAAGCAAATGTGGTGGTGGTGGTGGTAAAGGCGAAGCCCTGCAATTCTTTGCTCACGTCACTGCTTCAATTCAGTTCTGTTTATGTTGAAGTACCCTGGTGAGCCAACAAATCTTAAATCGGGTTTCATCAACAAAATCAACTCGGAATTGGCTTCAGCGGAGCGAAAGAGTAACATGACCCAACTCCTACATGCTGGCCAGTCATCTTGCAACAACAACAACAACCAACCAACAACAACAAAAGCCCCATCAGTGTGTCCCGAAGTAGGGTATTGTGGGCTCCCTCTCGCCTCGGATCGCCGTCGACTACAAATTAAGAGCGCACGTGACCGGCCAGAAGGAGCTTAAGAAATATACCCGTGGGAGCAACTCGCCGCGCGTCGAGTCAGTCCCCGGAGTGAAACAACAACAACCACAACCACACATACAAAACACCCTACTCGCCTCCTCGCGCCCCACACACGGCACGGAGTGTGCCCACCCACCCACCCCCCACGCTCACTCGCGTGGATTCCGCGCTGTGAGCGCTCTCTGGTTACGCGCCACCGCCTCCGCACTCGCTTCGCCGAGGTCAATCTTGATTTGGCCGAGGTCAATCTTGATTCGGCCGAGGTCAATCTTGATTCGACCGAGGTCAATATTGATTCGACCGAGGTCAATCTTGATTCGACCGAGGTCAATCTTGATTTGGCCGAGGTCAATCTTGATTCGGCCGAGGTCAATCTTGATTCGACCGAGGTCAATCTTTATTTGACCGAGGTCAATCTTGATTCGACCGAGGTCAATCTTGATTCGACCGAGGTCAATCTTGATTTGACCGAGGTCAATCTTGATTTGGCCGAGGTCAGTTGCCCGCGGAACATCGGTGGACCAACGGTTCCGACCACGCAGCGAACAACGTTGGCCCAAGGGTTTTTTGCAACCGTTTACCACGTAGGATTTCGCGGCCAATGTTATTCATGATAGTAAGGTGTTTTTTGTGGGGGCGAGGGGGTGATGGGGGGATTAGATCGCGTAAATGTCAATGCATCGTTAAACCCGCGGCCAATTAGTGAGGATGTCAAACTGCTGCTGCTGCTGCTCGGAGCCAAAGGGTTCAAGCATGACTGAAATTTAACTGGATTCCACCGTCGATTCCGTGAGCTTTTGAGTCGATTCCGAAGATAATTAGCAAGAAAAATATCGCCACATTCTTCAATAACACTGCCTAAAAAACAAAACGTAAATATATTTAGTTTTTTGGTTTTCCTTTTAAGGCCAAAACGTCATTGACGAGTATGGTGAGGTTTTTTTGCCAAAATCGCCCGATGATGCTGGATGTAATTACCAGCGAAACGTCACAGTACTCAGATTGTAAATGTTGTGTATTTACTCTCCAACACACCAGTGTGCTGAAGTCGTAACTAATTGGCACGTTTTGTTTACGTGACAACCCTTACTAATTGGCTGTGTCGGGTGGTGGCGGGTTTAACGACACGTTTATATTTACGCGATCTAACCCAAAAAAAATAACCTATATTATTGATGCACATTTACACTGGAGGCCCAGCCAAACATGGAATGCTGTTGGGGCCAATGTTGGGGCAACGGTTCCAGCTAACGTTGACCCAACGTTGCAGGCAGTGCAATTGCACAGCCCCACGTACTGGTTAAGAGGCTCAGCGACCCCCCTCCCCCCCCCCCCCCCCCCCATGAAGGAGTATAGAATTGGACGTGGAGGTAAGGGTGGCATAGCTGTTAACCCACACGGTTTAACCGTATTCTTGTACAGGCAAATTGAGTTTTCAAGTCCATACGGCGTACAGCCGTTTCAACACGGGATTATTTTTGTCTATTTTTGTGTGTTTCTCCCTTGTGATGGGACTTCGTAGGATGAACGTTGAGATTTATAAGGGGCACAGGGTGACCAATAAGGTCTCAACTGGTCTGTAATAAGGTAGGGGCACTGAGAAGGGGTTGACAGGTTTGTCGTGGATGCATTTTATTCGTTGCACTGCGGCAGGTAGTTGACATCTCGCTACCGAGGGTATCCTCGGCACGATGATTTGTACCCAGATACCAGGTATCTATCCCTGCTGGAGGTCAGTCTAACACGGCTCGGGGCCTAGTCAGTCTTCTTTAACAGATCTCTGTGAGAGCGAATGAAAGTGATAACCACAACAGATTGACATGTAATTCCAATGACTTTGATTTTGTCGCCAATACAACAATCCCTGCTTGTTGAATGTCCAGGGCGGAGTGGGGGGGGGAGGCTAAGCTGAACGAGCCACGCGCATTCCAAGCTATGGAACGCTTTGCCACTTGAAATCAGGGCAATCAGAGTCGGTAGATAGATTCAAATCTGCTTTGAAAACCCCATCTCTTTAAAGCGGTCTCCCCTCTTTAGTTTGGTCGGTTGCCCCTGGGTTCTGTTTGTGTTTCCTGCTTTTCATGCGTTGTGCATTTTGGGATCCTAGGATGGAATGCACAATTATACATTTGAATTAGTATTATTATCCCCGCTTTGCGTTCCTTGTTCTCCGTCAATCGCCATTGCGGTGGTCGCATTCATCCACTCGCCGCTGTCAACGTGGCAGCGCTCTCTCCTTCGCTCGCCTGCTGCGGACAAATATTTATTGCACATCCATCGCGGGTGTCCCATTGGCAGAGACAAAGCGACCGGGCAGGCGTTGACGCCTCTGATTCAACAACGCGAGACGGCGCCTCCCGCACCCCCCCCCCTTCCACCAAGCCATAGATAGCCCAGACCTCGCCAGCCCACACCACCACGGTCCATCCACGGTTCCCCCCGTGTTTGCCGATCTCTTCTGTTCGTAATGCAAGCGAAGTCGTCGATTATTTGTTCGGCTTCAGCGCGTTCCTGCAACGCGCTCCACCTACATTGGTCGCCCAGGACAAACCGTAACCGAGTATTACGACCCAATGCACGAATCCACAAATACGAAGGAGGAGACATCGCGGCGACGATGATCCCACTACTCCGCTAACTCCTGTCGCGGTTGTCTGGGCTTGGCCACCCGAACGTGAAGTTGTAGCCGTTGCTCTGCAGCTGCGTTAGCAGACGCACCGAAAGTAAAAGAGCTGAGGTTGATTCCTTGCTACGGCTAACATCAGCCGGCGAGTGATTATTTAGAGGGATTCAGTACATCCCCTGATCACATCCGCACCTAAACGAGTACCTGGTGCGGTGTGTAAACATGAGCAGTGGGGAGACAACATCTGCTGCTGCTGCTGTGCGTGGAACACCACCCCAGTGAACATTCAGCATGGCCCCAGCGTTGGATAACGTTTGGCCAACGTTAGCCCAACGTTGCATGTTTTTTGGGACAGCCTCGTGTACCGCGCCGGCCTTCATAGGTGCTCGATAACTGCACTTGCCCTGGCAATCTATGAAGGCTATACGGGGGATCTTACTTTGTCTTTGTGTTCCGATGTCCCCATCAGCATCAAATGCATCAAATACACAAGACGTTAACATAACGATCATTTTAGATTGGTAATAATTAAATGCCACTCAGTTATGCTGGAAAGCCACCCCTGAGTCTGTCAAAAGAACATATTATTAAACCAAAACTCAAAAGTGAGTCACGAAACAATGGGAGACGCATGCTTGGAATTCGACTGAAAGACGGAGGGAGACCGCGCGGATTTGGGGCACATTACGCGGGTTAAAGACGCAAAAATCGAAATGCGAATTGAAGCCGTGATGAGAATAGTGAGTGGACTTCATTTAGCAGGAACCGGTCAAGAGTAACAACGGCGGCAGACTGCTGATGTCGTCAAGGAACAATAAATCATCACACGGGCATCCTCACAGCGGCTTTTGTCGAGCCATCGAACAAAGAATGGTCACTGCGTCGCGCGCTTCTGCGGCCGTCTGGAACGCTCTTCCTTCCGATATTAGGAAACCACTTTAGCTATCCACTTTAAAATCACGTATATTGAAAACGCATTTCTTTAAGAGTGTTTTTTGTGTTTGGTTTTTTGTCCTTCCCCCGCACCTCCGATTAGCACGGTTGGCTATGTACGGTGCGAAAGACGTTCAACATACATACAGCCACAGTGGTGGTGAACTGGAAGCCACTGAAGCTATACAATTTAACATTTTTATTGGAAACTCATTTCTTTAGAACTGCTCTTTGTATTTGGCTTTTTGCCCTTACCCTCACCTCTGATTATCACGATTGGCTACGCACGGTGCAAAAGAAGCTCAACGTACATGTACATACACCAACCAAGGATTGGAATGCGTACAGGGGTAACGTCTAACGAGGACATGAAATCATCTCGTGTGCTGGCGGTGAATCATTCCGACAACGCGAGAGTTGACGTCGGCCTGGGGAGCCCTTTTATCCAGCAGTGGATTGACCTTGACGAACGACGATGTTATTTCCTTTCTTATTTTTTGACTATGCGCAAGCGGCCACTCGATACGCCCGTTCCCACGTCAACCCAGTCACGTTGCTATGACGGGACCAAGTACGCCCTTCACACCGCACGCGCGCGCGCACGATTAGCATGCTCGTGGCGTGTTTGTGTTCTTTGCTAACCCACGTGGTTGTTGTTGACTACAGTTGCCCCGGGGCTGTCTGGGCAACCGAGGCTTGAGTTGGGGGGGGTGGTGGTGGGAGTCGGAGGGTGGAGATGAGTGGGGGTTGGGGGGTGTTAAGGAAGAGGTGGGAGCCATGGGGAGGTGGCTGTGAGTGGTGGAGGTCTGTTGAGGATCAGTGGCTCCAACCACGGCCTGTCGCCTTTTGTGTTCTTCTTTGAATTAATCGGAGGTGACGGCAAAACCATGTCAGGGAATTGCATCGACGCCATCACCGTTGTAGGCTGTGAGCCACGGTCTATCCACTGCTGGATGAAAGTCCACCCGTAACTTAGATCTCCCCGGTTCCCAGTGCTAACCGCTGCACCACAGCTCCTCACACGCACACAGACAAAGATCCCCGTATAGTCCTAACAGACTTTTAGGACGAGTACTGTGAGCGGACACCTATGCAGGCGGCACGGCGCACGGGAGGTGGGGGGGTGACTGATGTGTTACCAACTGTACCAGGCACCCATTTGAAGCTGAGTTGACCTAAGGGAGGCCCAAGACCTGTTCATAAAATTGTCACTGGTATTTTCCGTGAGCGGGAATCGAGCTCGTCTCGCCGGGTTTGTCGAGCAACGCGCTAGCCGCTACACCATCAAAGACAAAGATCCCCTGCGTTTCCTTAACACACTTTTGGGGCAAGTTCTGTTAGCGAGCCCCCTATGAAGGCCGGCACGGCACACAAAGGGTTAGGTGGCCAGCACCACGCTCGGCTGCCTTTGTCTCCCCAGTGGCGATGTTTACACAC